TCATTCGTTCATTCCTATGGTAGCAATCGTGTTCGAATTAAATGAACCTGAATCATTCATTCCATATATCCCATCGTGTTCAGAGAGGATTGAAGAGCACAAACATGTTAGAAATATATTGTGCAAATTCTCCTTCCTAGTTTTTCAAAACATATTTGAATAAAATCTTCAGCAAGCGTAATTTCGGAGGCTGGCTGTTCCACTTCCGCCAGCAAATAGCTTTTACTACTGGCGATCGAATTGATNTATTTGAGTGAAATCTTCAGCAAGCGTAATTTCGGAGGCTGGCTGTTCCACTTCCGCCAGCAAATAGCTTTTACTACTGGCGATCGAATTGATCGTTCCGAACGTTAATGTCATTTGTGTACGCGGTGCATCGTACACACTTTCTTCGATCCTTTCTTCGATGTTCAATTTCAACGAGCCAATATATTTTTTTACCGAGTAGACGATACAAACAAATGCTCACGATGAATTACATGAATGGATTTGCCAGGGAATGGTGATAACAATGACGAGAAATAACAAAAAACTAATCTACTAAACTAATTCCATGTTGACTCCGATTGATGATCTTTGAATATTGGAACACGAATAATGTGATCTTATGCTTCGTAAAGCCTTATGCGGAATCCAACAAACGGTGCACCTGCCCAAAATTCGAAACGAACAAGGTTCTGCATGAGGAACTTCATTGAAATCTTAGAAACTGTTTTTTACTGAACACCAAACACATTTCAAGAACGCATATGAAATGAAGTGTGAAGAAACTCAAAAGTAGAAAACTCTTTCAAATGAACGATTCCTCAAATGGAACATCCATCGACAGCTTCAACGACAGCAAATTTGCAAATGAAATCGTTTTGTAGCCACAGCCACAGGCATGGGCACAGGCTCAGGCATTAGTCGTAGGGAACACAAGAAGATTTCTGCTGAGCAAATGCATTCGTGCACGAATATTGATGCATAAAGGCAAAGCAATAAATTATTTGTTTTTTATCCTCTTTGTCATTCATCGAATAGCAAATGTTAGTTGTCTTCAAGCAGCTCTTACTGACAAAGCAATAATTTCCCATTTCAAACCACGAATCAGCATTCCCGCTACCCAAATGAGTGTTCCAATTTCTGCAGTTGATTGTATTCACTGAAGAGGAATCCCGAGATTCGAGGGATTTCTGTGGATCAGTGTAGCAGGAATCATATTGATCATGCAAAAGAATGCATTAGGTATATCGATTTAAGATATTTTGAGCAAGTTTTCTCAGGAAATCACTAGAACCAAGCGGATTCAGCAATCCATTAGTTCCACATTCCAGGATGCAGGACTACAAGTCGATGGTGTTCTCGATAACGATCGGAATAATTCTATAGTACCAATCGAGTACAAAATGAGTGCATTCGAGCGGATGTTACGTTATTTGTCAATGAAAAAATATAAGGATGAGGTATATACTGCTTAAGTTTGTTTCGAGCAGAATGCAATTGCGGAAGATGGAATGGTTTGACAATTGACATTTAATGGACGACTGAATCGAATCATTGAATCTTACGGACGTTAGATAAATTTGCGAAAGTTTTGAAATTATTCCTGTGAAAATTTCAGCTGATTCAGTGGCATCAACAGACACCAAGTGTGACATCTTCAACGCCTGTACAGTTCACAATAACACCAATTTCTAAGTATGCTACGAAAATTTTGGATGCAACATACAATGAAACCATGGTAGACATATGAAATATCTCATATTTCCTTGAACTGCTCAATAGCAGTCTTATTGTTGACATGATTGTAGTAGTTGCATCTGATAATTGTGATCAGCGAGATAAATGAAGTCATTACCACGTTTGTTATCACATCCATTACATTTGTATCTTTTATTCAAGTTAGTCGGATGTTCATTTCAGAAATTATATTTGCTGCTCGTAGAGAACGATGAAGAAATTAGTTTGGAGCTATGGACGCTTGACAATTTACTGGTATTGAATGTATTCACTAATTTCCTCTGAATTCACATGTTACATTTTTAATTAAAAGCTCCAATTCAAAATTACATCTCCCAAAGCGGATATACCTTCTTACAGAGTGCTAATCAGAAACGAATCAGCGCAATCTTATACGATGACGAGGATGATGAAAAGGCTTTCATTTCCACAGAACAAAACTATGTCTTAGTAAGATTCAATTCGTTCTAGCATTTTTTGCTCTGGAAAGGTCTAGAGTTGCGAATCATTTCCTTGATTACTATTCATTTTTTCGCCTGTAACTGAACAATCTGAAATTCAAAACTTTAAAGCTTGCTTGAACGTTGAACGGTGATCATGTTAATTGAAAGATCATTGCAGATCGGTTATGGTCATCAAATGGTACTCGAAGATTTGAGTNATTACTATTCATTTTTTCGCTTGCAACTGAATAGTTTTAAATTGAAAACTTAAAGCTTGCTTGAACGCTGAAAGGTGCTCATGTTAATTGAAAGATCATTATAGATCGGTTATGGTCATCAAATGGTACTCGAAGATTTGAGTAATGATACAACAATATTCTCATTGAAGTTGGTTTTAAATGAAAAATTTAATGTATAATCGCATGATCTTTGACTAATTCAATCAGTCGGTCTTAATTGACAAATGCGATGGGAAATCCCCACCAATCTCGAAGACAATAACTGTGAAAAACAATACCTTGTTGTAGCTTAGTTGATGTTCGAACAAAATTCTATGGTGGTAATTGAATCAATTCGATAAATTCATTATTTAAGAAATATATCTTCCAGCCTTGCTCATGGCGTACTCTGTGCAAGGATTTTCAATGGGAATTGCTTAATGTGGATAGAAAAGGACGGTTGTATATGGCGACGATCGATGTACAATGCAAAAATGAGACGGTAGATAGTAAGGTCTTATACACTGAAAAGCCTTAAGTTTTCAGTTGTTGAGCTGAAGTGATACCCTCATTATCGTAGATTCGTAACTCTTACTTGTTGAAACCAGTGTAAGATGAATCTGAATGGTAAGTTATTATCTAGAATACCTTTAAGGATCGGCTGGCTACCAGTTGGATTAGGTGAACGTTTATACTATGGATGCTTCTCGTCACCCTCTTCGCAATCATACTCACCTGCTCGTTTGCATTTCCTTACCGACATGGCTGCAATTCACTGCTCTTGCATGGACCCGAGTGATTTTGACTTTGTTGAAATGAACGGGAAGGTTTGAATGTACTCAAAAACTTCCGACTTTGAATTGCTTTTTCTTCGCCCTACCGCATACTTTTATTAGATCTGCATTTTTTACTGCCCATATTCAAGACAATCTCAACGAGAATCATATAGATCCTCATTGTGTATGCGGAATAAAGGAATACGACGGGCAGACGAGTATGAACAAGGAATTAAATAAAGCAATAAAAATAATGGACTCCACAATTGATCTCTTTCACATTGATCACATTCCTAATTTCAATAAATATTATTGCTATTTGAACACATACACATGTGCTTATATGTGTATTCCAGCTTATGCCTAGAGACCGTTTGATTCCGTTGAATGACACCAATTATATTGTTTTTCATCCGAACTCGTTAAACGCGGAACTGTGGTCATACGATGAACCTCGGTACGAGATTGAGCTGAATATTCGAGCAATTTACAAATGTCATTATCTGCAACAAAAAAATTCAAATACCATTATTTGAAATCACCAGATTCATGGAAGCTTTCAGAGCTTCATCGCATTATATCCAGTCATATGAATAGATTTGTAAATAGAATCGATAAGGCTATAAGGAAGTGAATTCACAGCGTCCATAAATTTCACATTTT